CTAGGTCCCTCGGGGTTACATCGGAGATCCGTTCCTACAGCGCGACGTAATGCAATTTTCGCCGTAAGTTGGACCCACCTAGGTAAGCACTTACATCACTCACATGGAGCACATACACAGCAGTAATGAAGTGAAACAGTAAAAAAATTTTAAAAGAAAGATAACAATTACTGACCTTTACTTGTGGTAAATAAATAATAAAAAACATAAAGCACATATGTACATATGTCGAAATGACAGAACTTTTCTTTAAATAAATAAATGGGAGATGGCGATGTAACCACGAAATGACGTACGTCGAGTCCGACGTAACTGAGGACTGTCTGTATATGCATAGCCCATGAACACAGACAATAGTGTTGTGAAAGCATGAACTAGATAGAGGGGGGCAAGGGAGGGGGCAAGGGGGTCATCTGTAATAATGTCAACAATAAAAAAATATTAAAAATGCTGCCTCATATAAAACAGAAAGCAAAAATACTGACTTCTGAAATCACAATAATAGTTAAGTATTTCCTTCCATATTGATTTCCACTGTTATTAAAGATTAACTTTGTGAAATAATTCACAAACCCACTTTTCAAAATATTATAGTTTATAGCAAAATTTTATTCTCCAAATTAATGAAGAGATAATATTCTCATAATTTATGTACCAAAATAATTAAGCCATATATTTGCAAAGTCACACTTTACTTACATAAAAGCCTTTCATTGGTAAACTGTATGTTACGTATATTTACACTTCCATCAGTTTTCTTGGATACTTTCAAACCCATTTTTCACATTTCCTTCAGAACCTAGTCTAAAGAAAGCCTCCCCAGAAAGCTACAAGGACAGGGGATAGAGGGGATGCACATAGCTTCAACCACAGGCATGCAGGACAGGAACAGTGTAGGCTGATAAAGGCAAAGGGAAGGCAAAAAGACATACCTTAGCATAGAGTAGACCTTTTCCTCCTGCCTCTCTAGCCTCTCTGGACAATGACATCACAGTACTACAAGCTTCTGGTTTGAAACGTTGCGTCCCTTAGGTTTCTGTGTCTTTCTGAAGTGCTTAAGGCAGAGATTTTCAACACAGTGGCACTGCCATCTGGAAGTTGTATTCTGAATTTGGGGGGGTAAATTTTCATTGTCTCCATAATTCAAAAGACATCCTTGGCATTTGGAAGACAACATACAGGACAGACCTGTACAACGAAGA